CCCCAAAACCCCAAAACCCCAAAACCCCAAAACCCCGCCATAGACATTTATTTATAAAATTGAAATTTATGAAATCAAGAATTTAATTTGATTCAACTCAAATAGTGAAGAGCTTGAGATTAGTTTTGTAATACATTTCTTGAGTAAATCTATTTATCATATCCTTATCAAACTAATTTTCATTGTCTTATTCTTTCTTCAGCATTGCTTAACCGTGATATGTTAGTATCATATACTGCAAAGTTCTATTCTAGAATACAAAAAGGTTTCCGATTACACCAAGCAATTATCGGCTAATTAAAAATTTATTATTTTCCATCCTTAGCTTCACAAGAGTCTTATTTGACTCTAGAACCTTTAAAATTGCAACTAATCCAGGCTCTCTAATATCATTATTGTCCAAATTAAGACTCTGAATACTATTATTGGACATCATTATATTTGCTACCTCTGTGCATGCTTGATTTCTCAGCTGGTTACAACTTAAGTTAAGTTTCCTGAGTTTTTTGGAATTCCTGATAGTACCCTCTAAGATTATGAATTAATCATAACCCATTTTGACATCCATTAATGTCAACTTTTGCAAATCAGGATTTTAGATGAGATAATTATCTATAACTTTGAAGTGCAGATTATTTAATTCAATATTTTGAATTTTCAACTCTCTTAGATTAGTAAAAGTATTTAGAGCTAACAATAATGGCTTGATAGTTTTAATAACCCCTAAACCTAATACAAATCTTTCAACATTTTTGTTTGGCTTAAGCTCCATAAATTAAGCCTCATTAAGTGTTGAGCTGTTTCTAAAATAAGTCTAAGCGAAAATCGATATTTCCTTTAAGTTTTGGTTGAAGTGCATTAAATCTAGTATACTTAGGTTTTAGAGGTAATTCTCAGTCAAGGTTATGGAATGTAAAGTTGTTTTATTGCAACCAATGAATCCTGTTAAGAAGCCAAGTTTATCATCGTTATCCATATGTATAGAAGCTAATTTGAGATTTCTGATTGATTTACTTTACTGAATAGCTGCAAGTATATGTTTAAATTATTCATCAGTAAAATTAATGCTATCTAATGTAAGATTTCTGAGATTGATAGCTCCCTTTGATATAAAATCTAGGAAAACTTGCTGTTTAATCTTTTGATATGGGATTTGCGAAATACTTAAAGTTTATAGCTATACGAATTTAGAGAGTGCTTCTGAGAAACTAGGTAAGGATAGTTCTGCTATGAAACTTAGAGATAGTTCTTTCAATTTCTTTATACAAGCCATATCAAACATACTCTCAGTGAAGTTCTTATCTCCAATATTCATCAGCTATAGACTTTTGAGGTTTTTAAGATATTTGTGAAACTTCACTTCAAAGTTACTATCTCCAGCCTAAAATTATACAGAGAGATGCTTGAAGTGACTATCCTTTCCAATATACTTATTAAGAACATCTAAAATTTCTGGTTTCACAGAAGCATTTAGAATCAGTTTTTTTAGTCTAGTTTATTACTTTAGTAGTTAGAATACACTTGAATATTCAGGATTATCCAACCTCATATCAAAACTTAGTTCCTCTAATTAGTCTTTTTACAGAATATTCCTAAGCTCTTAAATTTGCTCTTTTGGAATCGCCCCACTGAATAAATGTGGGTGATGTAATATTTTAAGGTTTTTAAGAGAACTGCTAAGATTGCTTATCTAGGAAAGAGTTCTTATTGAGTAAACGTCTTAATGATCACTAGAGAGGTTCGTCATTTTATCCCTGATAATATAATGCTTTTCGAAATCATATGAGTTAATCACTAAGGTCTAGTTAGATGAAATAGGCACTGGTACAATTTTCTTGACAAGCATGTGAAATTAAGCTGTATTGTCATCAGCACAATTTCCCATATTGTAGCCCATTCTAGATATTCTTCTCATCAATGTCTTCGCTTTATGAAGATAGAAAGTGTATGATAGGATCTTGAATGTAATTTTGGTATCTGGTATTTTTGGAAACAACTATTTATTTTTGTAATCTTTAGGTTTAAGATCGGAAATTCTATCAACCAATTAAAGCGTGTATTCTCTGTTGGAAGTTGGAGGATTAACTTTTGTAATATATCTCTCAACAAACTATGAATGATATGGAATCTTAAAGTAATCTTGAGAATATTTATTCTGAATATCATCATATTTGTTTTATTAGAGAGCTTTGTAAAGCGGGACAGGCTCTCCAATTATTCTTTCTGAGACTTCATTAATTATTAATCTTGGCATTTCATTAAATATAAATCCTGTCTTTCCATCGTCACATCTTTATCTAAAGATATCACCTCTGAATATTATGATACTGTGTCTTTGAGGGACTTAATTATTAAGTACCATTTCATCGAATATATCCTTATGTATTACTGCTGATGCGGTCCCTATACCGTCAGAAACCTCTATAGTTACTCCTTGATAATGCTTTTTGAGATTTTTCTTTGCAGATTTTTTGGATCCCTCACTATGTACATCAGTTACTTGCAAAACAAAGAATTTATCTCTGATTTAAGATTATTCATGCTGTGATAGAGCGTAAACTCCTGATTTTGTTAGTTCTATAGGCAGCTTAATAAACCCACTCGTCAAGTATTGCATATTTTTGTATTGTATTATATTATATTGTCTATTTAAATTCATTCATTAACTATATTATATTGATTGCTGGGGTTTTGGGGTTTTGGGGTTTTGGGG